GTTGTAGATTTTCCAGGATACTTGGAAGACTTTTTATATTGTGGATTAGGACCACTAAAGTTCTTCCAAGCTTTTCTTGAATGAAGATATTTTCAATTGCTCTGCATATACCTGAAAAGTGGGCAATGAATGGGGAAGACTAAAGAGGAATAAATGCCTTTGAATTTTGGTTTTGGGAAGAGTATGGAATAATCCATGCACTGCCAGAAAAAGAAGTATGTTTGTCTTGGGGGAAGTGCAGCCAGGAAAGTAGAGTGAAACTTCATCTCATGTACTGTGGGCATATTGTCAGGTGCAGTCAGTCCTTGGAAGAAGACATCATGCTGGGGAAAGTAGAAGGTCAGCAAAAGAAAGGAAGACCTTTAAAGACATGGATTGACACAGTGACTGCAAAACTGGGCGTGAACATGGTAGAGGTCATGACAATGTTGCAAGATAGGATAAGGTCTGATCTGTTCTTCCGAAAATTGCTATGAGGCACAGGATATTCTCTTAAAGCACTTAGCAATAATAATACTGGGGGAGATCTCTCAGGGCAAAGAGGCTTCTGTTGGTTGCTGGCAGAAATGCCCTGGTGTTGTTTTCTTGCTGGTAGTAGCTTTATAAGATCTGCTGCTCCTTTGATAAGTAGTGGGAACTTTTCAGCCTCTTTTCCAATAACAAAAGAAAGCCCTGTGGAATTTTCCAGGCTGGGGATTTCAGGGAGCTGCTGATATTTTTATAACATATGATGTGAACAATAATTGTATTTGTTCCCAGAAACCTTTTAAGGCATAAAATCCAACATCACATTATTTTATTTGGTTTCAGAAATTTAATAAACAAGAAACATAACCCAGTTGTTGCTCTTGAAATAAAAATTAGAGATCTACAATTAATAGCCAAAACCCAAAAACATCAGATGTGCTTAATAGGGTCGTGGAGAGTGTTATTTCTCCTGGGGGAGTCAGGCAACAAATGGACATTGTGTCAGGGTCCAGAAAAGAGAAAATAGGCATGTGACTGAATAACAGCTTAGTGTCACCAAGCAAAGGCATCAGGTAACCAACCACCAGTTCCCTCCTTTCCTGGAGCCCCACACATAATGCAAATACTAGCAAAAATTCAAGCAAGATTTGAAAAAAATAAAAATGTTAAGGTTCTCATCCTACAGACAATTTAAGTAGTTGAGAAAATGGAGTCAAATGCATAGGGGAAATGCGTTTCAATGCACGGGCATAAACCAAGCACTATACCTGGAAGATTTTCATATCCTTGGAGACCTGTTTAGAGGTCTTTCCAGCTCTACAGCATCAGTGTTCTTATGATGGTCATGACTGCAATCTCTGCTAATGTTCATTTTCCTCCTCCCTCCTCCCTGAAGCTAAAATAAGAGCCCTTGTTTTTGCTGCTTCTGAAGTAACAGGGTTAAAGATGAAGTATGTGTGAGACAGGAAGCCAGACAGAGCTTGTACTCACTGCTCGCTTGGAAGTGAGGAGTTTCTTGACATTGCCTTCGGTGACAAGTCATAGTCGCTGTCTGACCTGTAGAGGAAGGACTCTCTGCGCTGGCTGTGGCCGGGAAAGGTGGCATGAAGCACCAATCCAGAGGATGAGCTGGCCTGGGGATCCAGGGGGCTCCGACCTGGGGAAGGGCCATTTTCCACATCAAAGCTTAAAAAAGAAAACAGAACACTGAGGTCAGAGGAGAATCATGAAAAAGAACAGTGAACACAGTATAAGAACCTAAGTGGCAGTCACATGGCATTAAACTGCATACTTTGTTAAAGGTTCTAATTATTGAAGTTGCCATCATTAGTATTCCAGTTCTCTATACACAGAAAGCTGGACAAGGACTAGAGATGATAGAAGGAGAATTGATGCCTTTGAGCTTTGGTGCTGGAGTGTTGAAAATACCATGGACTGCTAGGGGAACAAACAGGTTCATCCTCGAGAGGGTGAAACCAGGCTGCTTCTCGGAAACAAGGATTCTAAAGCTCTGTCTGACATACTTTGGACATGTTACAAGGAGGAACCAATCCTTGGTAAGGGAGAGCGTGCTTGGAAGGGTGGAGGGACAGCACAAGAGAGGAAGACCCTCAATGAGATGGATTGACTCTGACACACCTACCCTCATTTCACCAGTCAATGAATCAATCCAACCTTGGTTGATTCAGAATAAGTCAAGGTCCAGAGCTGTTGTACATAGGGTCGCTGAATTGTAAGCAGCTCAACAGCACATAACAACAACGATAATACAAAGAAACCAAGTCCTCCCAAAATTTCATTATTTACTCATTATAGAGTTTCCGGAGGCAAGCCATTTTGGAAGTGGATGCCGCTCCTGTTTCCAGGCTTGTTTTAGTCGGGAAGCTCCAGCAAACACTGTCCACCATGGGTACAAATTGGTTCAAATTGTTTCAAATGGGTTCAAACTGTTTTCCTGTCAAACATTCTTCTAGGTGGTATAGCACTGATCTGTGCGTTGTTGTACAGAGGTAACTCGTGGTTGCTGTGATGTCGAACACTAGGACACTGATGTGCCAGTCGTGGTAATGTGTACCCATGGTGGACAGTTGTTGCTGGAGCTTCCTAACTAAAACAAGCCTGGAAACAGGAGCGGCATCCACTTCCAAAATGGCTTGCCTCCGGAAACTCTATGTATGAACAGTGCTCAGGCCTTTGGTTCATAGGGTCGCTATGAGTCATCTATGCCTCGACGGTACCTAACAACAACAACAACAACAACAACAACAACAGTCTACCATTAGAAATTGTGGAGCCAGGATTTGAACTCAGGAGCAAAGCATTTCGATATTTCCAGTACCCTGAGTGACTTTGATAAACTAAAAATGAGAAAAGGGTCACAAAATAACTTGGGAGTAAAGAGAATCTCCAGAAGGGGACATCCAGCCCAGCTCTGGGTGTTAGACTTTGCGCTATCACTTGAGTAAATCTTCCTCGCTGAAAGACTTCTTCCTGTCACAAATAAATAGCACAGTATCATTAAAGATACAACCTGCATATTTCTAAATGTTTCAGGAACAAAATGTTATTCTTAAAACATCCACTGCATGATGAAATTTAGTGTCCATATGTGCAATCAGAAAACAGTTTTAATTAATCTGATGATATCAATTAAGTCTCAGGGGCCACTCAGCTGCTTCTCCAGAGAAAAAGTATTTCCTGGTTTTGGCAGAAGAGCACTGAAAAAGTTCCTAGTCAGTCTCCCTCAATCTTGTAGGGTGCTCTCAAGTGCAGAATTCCCTGGACACCTTAGATCACTGAATACAGGTGCAAGAGTTACAGTATGTGAGTGCCTTGTTTCTCTCTGTGTCCTGTTCCTGGGTGGTGCAATTTATGCATTTGGCTGCTAACTGAAAGATTGAAAGTTCAAGTCACCTAAATTCTTTTCCTCTGCACACACAACCTCCTTTACCTTTTAAGTCTCCTCCTTAGCATTTCTTTAGTCAACTTGTTGAATCCCAGCTAAGCCTTTGGAAAAAGGTGTTGTGAGAAAGATAAGAGGACAAAGTTTTTTTCCACCCCCAGTTAGAACACAGTAGTGGGCTTCCATTACACTTACAGAGCCCCAATTTATTTTCATGCCTTTGCTCCTTTTCATTCAAGAATTCTTATTCTTTTCTTTCTTGGGATTGATACTGTTTATATTTTTTCATTTTATGAAATGCTCTTTAATAATTTGCTTTCCTTATTCCTCTTAAGAACCCCACGAAGTAGCTATTGTGAACTCACTCTACATTTGAAGAAAATGAGACCTTGTTGTTGTGTATTGTATAGTCCATTCTAAATCATTACAACTCCGTAAGATGATATGACAGACTAGAACTGTCCCAAAGTGTTTCCCAAGCTGCAATTTTTTATAGGGTTTTCTTTGTGTGTATGTGTGTGTGTGTGTGTGTGTGTGCTTCACACTATTCTTCATTTACATTGTGTTTCATAGTCATTCAAATGCATTATGTTTTATAAAATTAATCACCACTGGAATTTGTCCATCATTACCCTGTCTTCTCAGATCCCTGCTGGATCCTTACAATTTCCTTTGCCCCCTCACTCTACCCACAAAACTGTGCAACCCTATGGTTTTCCCCCTACTCATCCTCACCCCTCTGCTCCCACCGGTTTCCCTCTTGGGTTCGTAAACATATTTTGCTAGTTATCCTTCTATTTTTACAACAGTAGTCTTATGCACTATTTGTCCTTATAAGACTGAGTCAGTTCACTCAGCATAATGTTCTCCAGTCTCTCCCAAAGTATATAGTAGGTCTTGAAATTGTTGCTCCTGAGGGCTGCATAGTATTCCATTGCGTGAATGTACCACAGTTTCTGAATTCATTCAGTTGTAGTTGACATTTGGGATGTTTCCATGTTCTTGCAATAATGAATAATGCTGCTATGAACACTGGTTTACAAATCTCCATTTGCATCTCAGTTCTGATTTCCTTGGGATATATTTCTAGTAGTCGAATAGATGAGTCATCTGGAGTTTCTATGCTCAAATTTTTGAGGAAACTAGGCTGGAATTTTTATGGGAGCAGATTGCCAGGCCTTTCTCCTGAACAACTTCCAGGTAGGTGGGTGTATCATATCAGTCTTTGAGTTAGCAGTCGAGTACATCACCACGGTACCATCAGATTCATGGTTATCAAGTGATCAACTCATTGTTGATCCTTCATTCAGTTTCAAAGGCTGCAAATCAAATGGGAGAAGGTTGCTCATCTTTCTCCTGTGAACGGCTGGTAGAGTTGAAATACCAGGAAGGAGTAGCCCTTGAGTTAACTGCCCAACTCCCTGGGGACTGGGCCACCAGAGCTGCCTTGTGACACTAAGGCTACTTTAAAATGAGGCTTAGAAGAATTTAAAGACCTCACTCAAAGACACTGGCTAGAGAGGAACTGGAACCTGAGTCATTTCACCACAACCTCAAACATCCCTAGTCACAGAAACTCAGAACAGCTCTCTAGGTAACTGAAAGTAATTTCCTCTATTTCTGGATTCAAACAAAATTTGTGGTTGGTATGTCGAGTCAGCCAGACTATGAACAACCTTTGCTGTTATCTTGAAAGGAGACAGGGGAGGCAGTAAATTACCCTGAAGTTGCAAGCTTTCGACAGAGGACAGAGCAGGGAATGAAGAAATTACAGAATTCAGAGTTTTAATGCTTCCCCAAGACCATTCTGAGAAACTGCTTTTAGCAAACTTACAAACTCCAGGTAGCTGATAAGAAGCCGCAAGTAAGAATCTCTGGTTAAAAGGACAAAGGCGAGCTGGAACAATCCAATGTGAATGTGGGCTTTCTAGGCATAGCAGATGGATTTTCACAGCAGGCTGATGGTCTGGGTTGAGATTGCCTTTCAAAGACTGTAGGCAGTCAGTCATTCTCAGACCCCCGCCTGTGTGCCAGCCCACCCAGAGGTAAAGCTATGTCATAAGCTACATGCATGGCACCAAGTGAAAGATATAGTGTAAGCTGACTGACAGACATTCCTTGGGTGAGTCCTGTATTAGCTGTCAAACAAAATAAACAACTCCTTTGTGGATGAGGGCCTCTTATTGCTGCCACCCCAATCCTGTACAACCAGTAGGTCCTGATACTGGGTCTGAGCCCTTCTTGAGAACAAAGACGGTAGATTCTTAGTAGAAGGAAGGTGAGGCTACGTAACACTTAACCAGTGGGCATGAGATGAGAAATTGCAAACATATTCGTGTTCATTTTCTGCTATGTTTCTGTTTGGTCCTTATGGTTATTGAAACCACCCCCCAGTTTCTCCTGGACCAGAAGGACTCCAGTAACTGAAGGGTTGGTGTCTGGCACAGCAAGAGGTCTCTAGTTCCATCACTATGGCCTGTTGTCTTTTAGCTGGTCAGCTAGTGCACAGGGAGCATCAGCCATTAAAACTTATGAATATCACCGCTGTGTGTAACTGTGCTGAAATCTTAGAAGACGTGCCAAGTGCGTATGTCTACCAAGCTCTCAGAACATTTTTTTTCCACTGAGGCTTTCCACCAGTGCTCTCCCTGCCCTTTTTTATGCTAGAGGCATTCCTGGTGGGCAGAGGATAAGTGAAAAAGCACCAGCTTCAAAGGGGACAAAGCACTCTGTCGCCAGTGTTAGTATCTAAGGACAATCTTGCAAGGTAAGCAAGGACTTACCCAGACTAAAAACTCTCAATACACTGCCTCCCTTTGGTTTTATTCTTCCTGGCTCTGCTCAAACTCACAGGAGAGCCTGCTGGAATTTGAAAGAAGCCAGAGAAGCATTCTCTAGTGCAAGGAAGCAGTCTTAGGGAGACAAATGGTCTTTCATATCCCCTGGGGCACTGTTTCAAAGCAACCAACACAGATGTACAACTTAGGAACAAACATGAATCACAAACCAGACACCAGCCCCAGTCACAGCAAAATTAGCAGGCAGACATCACAATACGTCCCACAGATTCAGGGCGAGAGGAGGGGTGTGGGCAAAGGGAAGACTGAGGACGAGCTTGACAAGCAAAATGAATCTATTGCACAAACCGAAATACAATTATGAAGAAAACAGAATCTAAAATATCAGAAACAGACACATAAATAAGGTCATTATTCATCTAAGGTAATTGGTGCCTCTGCCTTAATCAGGACATTCATTTAACTTCTAGGCCTTTAGATTAAAG